ATATTTTAAATTTTGCGCTAGCCGGTTTAACTCAGTGGATAGAACATCAGCTGTGGACTGAAGGTTCGATTCCAGTCAAGAGCACATGCCTGGGTTGCAGGCTCGATCCCCATGAATGCCAGTCCTTCGAAATTAAATTTCTATATGTCAAAAGGAGGAGCCTCTTGATGACTTCTTTGTTTCTGTTACTGGCATCAGCATTGTTCCAGCAAATAAAAATGCATGTAACATGTAAAATAGGCAAAAGGCTAACTGCATAATATACAAAATATTTCAACAAATCACTCAAATAAAAAATGGAGTAAGGATATGCCACACTTCAGGGGGGAAATTACAAATGACTGCTAAATGATAGAAGTGGTTCAGTCTCACAAGCAGCCAGGAAAAGTAAAAGAAAAGAAAACATTATGATAATATTTTTACAACTGGCTTTTAAATAAGGTGATGGTAGATGGCATTTAATATTGGCCAAAGATAAGTGTTTGGAAGGGAAATTTGGCATTAGTTATTAATAGAAAACATATAGATCCTTTATTCGGCAGTTTATTCTACAACGAACTAAGGCATACATGCAAAACTGTATGTCCCAGGGCTTTTGAGACTCACTTCAAGGAGAAGGTGATGTTTGAACAAAGACTGACACATGAGGGAGCATGTAAGGCGGGAGTCGAGGGAGTGATTTAGGTAAAGGCCCTGAAGCTTGAGTTCAAAGGCATTGGGAGGAGTATTTGAATCTGGGGCCATTACAAAGGCAAGGACCAAGTCATGGAGCAGATAGAGCTTCATAGGCCACAGTAAAGAATTCGGCTTGACTGATAGCAGTTAATCTTACCTCCTAGATACCAGCATTTATTTTTACTTATAAACCTTGTAACTTGCAAAGAGTGTTAAAGTACAAAGTTTATACCAGGAGGTATTCACTCTGGGTTGATAAGCCCTCTAAAACTTCCTAAGATTTTGAAAGAGTCTGGGGCACTCGCTACCACCCACAGAAAAGCCTCCTCGAAAAAGACTAAGGACCTGTGAAATAGTCCTAAAAGGACAGTAATGTGGGGAGTCAAAACACCTGAGATAGTGTTGCACAGAAGAACGGGATTGCATGGAAGAGGGGGATGAGACTGCTAAGGGAAGCACAGCCAAGTTAGTCTCTATCCAAAGTCATACACTCTAACAGCTTCCACTCTAACAGCAAAGAGGAAAAACGGAGAAGCAGGAAACAGCCTCCAGTGACCCAGTCACCTTTGATTTCTATCTTTTTCTCACTATTCCCTCATTTCATCAGTGTGACCGCCTGGTTCATAAGTCAACACTCAACCTCTGAGCCACGCCGGCTGGGCTCCATTGATTTTTAGAGGGCATGACAGGGAGGGGGAGAGACAGAGAAACTTCCGTGTGAGATAGATCAATTGGTTGCCTCCTATGAGCACAACCACAAGGCTGGAGATCGAGCCTGCAACTGAGGTATGTGCCCTTGACCAGAATCAAACCTGGCACCCTTCAGTCCACGGGCCAGTGCTCCTCTTCCACTGAGCCAAACCAGTTCGGACGATAGTCATGTTCTTTAGAATCATGAAGATAAAGACAAAGAATTAGGGAACAGGGAAATAAGGTGAGGATGGGACTGCACCAGACTCTTGTGCATAACCAAAATCTTTTAGTGCTATCATGACTTTTAACAATGTGTATTGGGCTACTTCGATAAAAACAAAAGTGAGTAAAGATGTGTCAACATAAAAATTAGGTATTACTTTGGGAGGAGGTGGAGAGATACTGTTTAGTAGGAACAGAGTTTGTTTGCAAGATGAAAGTTCTCTGGAGATGGATGATGATAATACAGCATTGCCAGTGTACTTATTGCTACCGAACTGGACACTTATGATAAATAACCAAGTTTACATGTATTTTTCCTCAATTTTTAAAAGTAATACAAAACAGCCAAAGCCGGTTTGGCTCAGTGGTAGAGCTTCGGTATGCAGACTAAAAGGTCCCGGGTTCGATTCCGGTCAAGGGCATGTACCATTTAAAAAAAAAAAAAAAAAAAAGGTAATACAAAACAATTGTCAAGTTCATGCAAAAAAAATTTTTGAATGATGTTAGTAGTCATCTCAGTGTGAAGGTAAGGTTGTTCCTCTGAAGCAGGGGCCACCAGTTCCTGTTTGCCAGATGCCTGTCTGTTCCTTATACTTTACTTTTTTTTTTTTTTAAGTTACATTTTAAATGCTTCTATCAATACTGCATAATAGCTTTTGATCCCTCAGAGCCTAAAATACTTATTTTCTGTCCATTTTAAGAAAAATTTGCCAATTCCTGCTATAAAGTAATTGTCAGTTCAATATATAAGCTCTGCCACTAGCCAGCTCTCTGCCTCCCAAAAGTCATTTAAGGATTCTGGGCCTCATTTCCCGTGATTAGAAGGAATATTTGCCCTCAGTGTGAGAGTTGTGTAAGGATCCAAAAGATGGAAAGTAAATCTGTGAACCACGTCTCATATTTGTTGTGCTTTACAGACACCGGCCGTTGGTCTTCATTACTGAGTTCAAAAAAAGTTATTTGCTAATCAACTTCCTGTACTTAGATAGCCAGAAGTTTGATTACAGAAAGCCTAAAAGATCCTCAAACTTTTAACAGATCAACCAGTTGGAAAACTCTAAAATTAGTGGTAAGAGTTAAAACTAAAACATGGTTGGTATGTGATAAAAGGCTAACCTAGAGTAAGTATTAACTGTGCTTAGTAAATCAAACACTGCATATTTTTCGTGTTTCCTTGGTGGAAGTAATTTTTTTTCTAGTCTTCAAAGAAGTAACTTAATTGAACTGTTTGTTTTATTTTGGTCAGAAAGTTGAAAGCTTTCTGGGGGGTAAATTGTTCTTTATGAATACTTAGTATAATATTAATGCCCCAAAGATCGGAAAGCCTTCCTGTTTCATTGTTACCACAGGGCCTATGCCCAGGAGGTTCATTTGATGCTGAAAACTAGTGTAAAACGCTTTCCTAGGGGCCAGGTAGAAACTATGTGAGGTACTCAAAGCAGTGGGCCAGCTGGCAGGCAGTTGGCAGCTGTTTCCAAGCCCGCAGACAGACTTCAGAGGTCTGGGTCTGCAATCTACTAAAGGTCCAGGGAAGTTAGCCTGAATGTTTGATCCAGGAAAGAGTATCTGCAGAAATGATTGTGCTTTCAGTTACTTGCCTACCATCATTTTTCTGGTAAACAGCAGTGAGACCACCTTAGCTTTTGCTTTGTGTTGACTCAGAATGGTTGGAGTATTAAATTATGTAATCTATTTCAGAGAACCCTCATTATACTCAAAAGTTCAGGTTTAGTAACTGAGCCATAGTGATCTTGCAGGTATCGTTTTTTCTATTTTAGGAAATTGGTCTAAATTATAGTTCACTTTCAGCCCACAGAACTTTTTATTGGCATAAAAGATAATTTGTAGGTCCTTATTAAACTGAGATTGTTTTTAAATTAGCAGATTGAGTGTACATTACTTCTGTTTCAACCACATTGAATACAGTTGCAGATTAAACTGCAACACTTAGTCTAACTATAGCAAGGTAATAGAGAGATCTGGACTAAAAGGAGATATCAATTTTTTTTGATGTTTCAGACTCTCCCCCTCCCCATATTTGACATCTATTTATAGATGTCGTGTATGCAGTTTCTGTTTGGGTCTGTTTAAGAGAGATAATGAGGGCGTTTCATAGTTGAAGCCTAATAAGCAGGTCAGCTATCAGAACTCTTCAGACTAGAGGCTCCTGGAAGGAGTGGCCATTTGATCTATCGGCTGAAACCATCTGGCAGGACATTCATTGCAGAAACGTTGAAGTGAATTTGGCAACGTCACTGAATTTCACAGAATTTACTGTCTCAGACCTCAGTTAGGTAATCACTGGATTGCAGCTCCATTCCCTTTGTTTTCCTGACACAACTTGAAAAAAATACTCCATTGGTGCAGAAGTAATTGCCAAAGTAGTTTATGGTCCCTACTTGTTTACAAAAGTGTAAAAAACAGCAAGTACTTAAGTTACTTTTGATACCCCCCCCCCCCCCCCATTTGTCTTAGTAGACTTAGGGGCTATTTTCAAATAACTAGTTGAAACATTTTTGTTTCTGCATTTCAAACAAAATATCTATTGCTGATCCTTTTCAACACAAAAAAATATTTTAAGCAAAAATAGCCTAATCCTTGAATGTTTTTCAACTAGTGTGAGGATGCTAAAGCCGCGCTGCTCAGTAGCTATAGATTGTCTGACACATCAGTGAAGGAATGGGGGGCGAGGGAATGGTGCCTCTCCAGCACCTAACTCAAAGCTTCATTATAGCCACTTATCACCACTACTTGAATCTTTAAAGTTAGTGTTTTCAGAACATGTGCTGAGTCCAAAGGCTGCTCACTATTTCCAAAGATAGCGTCGCCTTGTCTGTGTTAACTGCCTAAGTCAGTTGATAGTGCCTGTGTAGTCTATATTAGCAGGAAATACTACTTTATCTGGCTGGAACTTCAAGTCAGATTGAGAAGGCAAGAAATTGTTAATGCTGATTATCTTATGTAAAAATTGAGAAATAGCCGGGACCGGTTTGGCTCAATGGATAGAGCGTCAGCTTGGGGACTGAAGGGCCCCAGGTTCAATTCCGGTCAAGGGCATTTACCTTGGTTGTGGGCATATCCCCAATAGGGGGTGTGCAAGAGGCAGCTGATCGATGACTCTCTCTCATCGATGTTTCTAACTCTCTCCCTTCCTCTCTGTACAAAAATCAATAAAATATATTTTTTTTAAATTGAGAAATATTTTAAATATGAAATATAGTATGTATATTAAATAGATCATTTAGGGCATTTGTCTCCTGATTGGTATATAATATCACTTTTAAAATGTTTACTCTCTGCTTGGGATGGAGTCTTTATAAACATGAATGCTATGTCTCAGTCTTGATACTCATTTACTCCTTTGGTGCTAGGACACTATGCAATCTAAATCTCTCTCTCTCTCCCCCCAGGTGGTCTTCGAGGGGTAGCACGAGGTGGTCTAGCAGGACTGACACTCACTAGCCTCTATGCACTATATAACAACTGGGAGCACATGAAGGGCTCCTTGCTGCAACAGTCACTCTGAAGATTCTGCCAGCTGTGACTAGAGGACACTTTAGTAGTCATCCAGATCAATTTATGAGTCAGTCTGGAGTTCTCTCCTATACCTACAAATAGTTTGAAAAATTGTGCAAATTTCCGAATTGCTGTGAAGATGATTGACTAGACTGGCTTTCCTTCCAGCCATTAGTGAGTTGAAGCTAAAACGCTTTGGTGGCTGAGTAATATGGTTCTTTTTCAAGATCTTGCACCTGTTCTGTTACCTCCTGAACTGGAAAACCACTTACTCCCATCATTCAGGTCATTCTTGTTGTCAGTACTATATCACCATGTTTGTTCATTTAAAGATCTAAGACTGTAAGATTGCCTTGTATTCCAATAAAGTGTGAAAAACCAAAGTCCACTCCAATGTAAACATGGTGGGTGTTTCCATTTAAAATCATTTTTCTGATTTTAAAGTGAAATTTACTCTTAGCATTTTTTTCTGTCCCAACTTGGTTAAAACATGTTTTCATGTTCGCGTTGAAATGAAGGGTTATTGGCAGTATTAACAGATGGGTTAAGATTTCCTCCAATGCCCAGGACCAAACCAGAGACGGTCAGACCTGCATCACCACCATTTGTCCACCAACCAGATCTGAAATATCATGGCTGACATGTACACATAAGGAACTATTTGATATTGAAATTGGGACTCAAAAGAACTGTTGGTCCAGAAAGGAACTCACTACAGACTGATTGATTTTCCTCTCAGCATAACCATTATGGCTTGTCTCAGTTTAGGTTCTTACAAGGGTATTTCTTGGATCACATGATCTCACACATCTAGAGGAAATAATGAACAATATAACTGATGAATAAAAAACACCCAGAGAGCTGAAATCGGTTTGGCTCAATGGATAGAGCGTTGGCTTGGGGACTGAAAGGTCCCGGGTTCGATTCCGGTCAAGGGCATGTACCTTGGTTGCGGGCATATCCCTAGTAGGGGATGTGCAAGAGACAGCTGATCAATGACTCACTATCTCTCTCCCTTCCTCTCTGTACAAAATAAATTAAAAAAAAAAAAAAAACCCAGAGAAAGAGAAGCAGCGATCAGACTCTCAAACCTCTAAGGGAAAGCAGAGGAAGGTGGGAGTAAGGGGAAGAGATCAACCAAAGGACTTGTGTGCATGCATATGGGCCTAGCCAGTGGCCATGGACAACAGGGTGGTGGGGGCATACGTAGGGAGGGGTTTGGTATAGGAATGGGGGGATGAGGACAATTATATGATCCCATAATCAATAAAATAAAAAAAAGGCAAAATAAAACTTGTTATTCACTTGGAAAAAAAAATTTCCTCCAATAGAGTTGACCCTAACCTCAAGATACTTCAGATTAAACATTATGCCATTAGAGTAGTGTGCTAGAACCACGTGGCCAGTGATGATGCTTAATTATGTATAAACTCATCCCTTCTGGGGATCGTTAGAAAAAGAGATATAACAGATAGGAGTTTTACCTTTTTAAGGAAGCCTTGGGAAAGCGAAAGGAAATAAGGCAAGTTATTTCTAGTTTCTATATATGAAAATATAAAATCGCACTGCAGATTGTATATATACATAATAAATTCTAAACAACTGGTAGTTATGACTGGAAAAAGTGGGGCCTTTTTGGATGCATCTAATGAGGGATTTGGCAGAAAGTTTTAGCAGATTGGAAATTAAAAGGAGTAACATGAAGAGTTTGTAGCAACAGACTGAAAAATGGAAGTTAGTAGCAGCATACCTGTTCTTGCTAATTTAAGATTCATAAAATACAGATATTTTATTGAATATAAAAATTTTTGTTAGTGTACTACTAATCAAAATTTATCACATTTACTTGTGATAGAATATTTTGTTACAAGGTATTTTTACAAATACACACAACTCTGGCTGTTAGACTTTTAATGGAGGAAAAGTACAAAATGCATCAATGCAAAAGACTTTTACATACTAATTAGCAAAGTGATTAATGTAAATTTAGGAATACACAGTGTTAAACCTCAAAAATTAGTTTCCTGCAACCTAAGATAATGGAAAGGCTCCTTAAGTTTTTACCCACCACCTTTATTGAAGTTTTAAATGGTGTCTGGGGGAGACAAAATAATAGAGGGCTTTTTCCAGCCATGGTTCAAGAATTCCAATGAAGCTATATGGCAAATGATACTGTTAAGACTGAAATTTCCCCAAAAGGACTTTCTAGATGACAACTCACACACTTTAAAAGTATTTCCAATCAAGTTGAGTTGCTTAATTTAGAAGCCTGGAAAGCAGCTATATCAAAGAATTTAAAAATAAAATTCCCATCTCTACTACAGAGAAACTTTAAATCATGGGCATGACTTAAAGGATTTTGAGAAAACACCAGTTTTCATAAAGCTTCAATAAACACCCCAAGGCACAAATGTTCAGAACAGCCTGTTCACTGCACTTTTAGAGGTAAAGGTACAAAGTACACTGCTTGCAGTAAGGACATTTAATTTATCCCTAGTTAAAAGCACCAAGTGTCAATGTCAAGCGCAACTTCCATTTACACAGGATATACCAATAACCAACCCTTAGGATAATGAATAGTTCAAGTACTGTATTTCCAACATGTTTTGCCTTTTGCTCTATGATTAATGGGCTCTTTTGCTTGCATTTCAAGAATATTTTCAAATAGGATTATCCAGAATTTTAAAGCAATTTAGACCTTTTCTAAAAGAGCTCACTAGATAATTTAATAACACTTAAGGAAATAAAGACAAAATTTGCAGTAGCTTAATTTCTTCCAAAAGAAAATGTAGAATCTGACCTGTGGGCTAAATGTTTTGTAATTAATGTCAAAAATTGCCAAAATGTTGGCACACATTTTGGGTTACAAAAACAAACGAGGAAAAAAAAAATCTCTATTCTCAAAATTATTTGTGAAAATGCTATATATTACTTAAACAGAAAAATAATGACTTCCACCACTAATGGAAAAAACCCACAGCAAGGGAAGCATCTGAAGAGGGTAACCAAAAGGTTAAGGAAGTTGACTAGCTTTAAATCAACTTGATTATAGAACTCTTTCATTTTTAAAACTACAGTTTTAATATACTAGGAACAACACAATCTAAGGAGCCATGGAGGCTTGTGAAAAATATCCACCGATACTGTGTGTGTTTCTAGTGTAAGGGTGAATTGTAAGAAGAAACTGAATCACCTCAGCATCAACAGCCTTTTTCTTTTACACAGTAATTCATAAGTGATGACATTTCACTAGTTCAAAATCAAGCAGGAAAGGAACTAAACTGGCTGGTCATCCAGAAACACTATGATTTGGCAAGCTGCAGTCACTCGGCTCATGGAAATGTGATGATTTGCAGAAAAGTTGCTTGATTCTAGTACTCCATTCCTTTACATCTGTGTAAAAAAAAAAAAAGTCCACAGATAAACAATCACTTCACTGTAGCATAAAAACATTTCTCCCCACCTTAAAAGCTCACTTATTTTTCATTAAGCTATTTGAATCCACAAAGGCTCTAAAAATTCCTGACTACATCATTACCTTGAAATGCCACTTTCAAGTATGTACTAATTATTTCATAAAGCAAGTTCAAGTGAAATACATGAAATTTTATTATCTCCTTCTCCTTCCACCCCTCATTTGCCTAATGTTCATTCCATTAATATGAATCTGGTTTAAAAGGCAAAGTTTATATGTAAGAAAACATAAGCTGTAAAATCTAATACGTAGATATTGGTGTGCACCCACCTGTAGAGGAGTTCGATATAGCCACTTTTCTTTATCAACTTTAAGCTGCATACAGGCAAAGAGATCACAAACTGCTGGGAGGGCATAGTTATGTTCTGGGGTGAAGTTATGTTCCTCTTGCAGGGGTGAATTAAGTAATACTTCCTGCAAGACAAAAAGATGGGTTACTATAAATAGTCTTCCCAATAATACAGTGTCTATAAGGAATAATGTAAATGTTGGGCATTCTCTAATAAGAGCAAAGGTGACAACTGTTTCCTCTGCTCCTGAATTTTCCCCCCAAATAGCAATAAAACAGGTTGGTGTTTATTGTGTATTTAAACCCCCCCCCCCCCCCCCGGAAGGATGGGGATTGTGGACCTGAAAAATGCACAGAAACTTTCATCTGAATAGTCACAAATCCTCCATTCTGTTGCTAACATTGAACCAAAATCAATACTTAAGTAAAATTTAACTTTACATGTTTAAAAATCTGGGCCATTTGCAAGATTTGGGATTAAGGAAGTAAAACCAGTTAAATATATTTAAAATGGTGCTATTTTGATGTCTGCCCACCTTGGCCTTCTTTCGTAGTAGCCACTTGTCTTCTCCTGAGGATAACTGACTGAGGTTTCCTGTCTTCTTTCCTGGCAAGACCCAGTCAGCTGTATTAAAGGGACACCAGGAAGTGGCCACCGGACTCAACAGCTTTTGTTTGCCAGCTCTGTCTTTGGGATGTCCTTCTTTGCATGAGGGTATGATGAGCCACTCTGACAAGGAACTGCTCTTTATCATTGTGAAGGAATCAGCAATTTTGGAAGGAGCCACTGCCTTTGATATTTTAGCTTGTTCTGCTGCCTCTTTCCTGGAAGGACAGAGCCACATATTCAGGGAATCTGGATGCTTCTCTGATTCAGGTTTTGGTTCAAGAGGCATACCATTTTTATCCTTTCCTTCCTTCTCCAGCAGCCACTTAGACACAGCTTCCTTCTCACAATTTTCATCACACACACACTCTGAGAAGCTGGTACAGGGCTCATTGGCTTTGCAGACTTCCTCTACTTTATATGGGTCCTGATGGTTCCGAACCAGCCAATCCTCAGTAACCATGCTGGGAGTGGACAAGGGTTTCTTGGCCTCACTGTGCTCATGCAGGCACTTCAGATTGCCCAGGTTTTCAATCTCCACACCTTTGGGCTGGTTGCCCCGACAATTGGTGCAGGAATCGGACTTGACAAGCCAATCATTCACATTGTAGGACTCGTGGAACATCTGAAGCAGGAGCTTAAACTTCTCGCTGGTTTCACAGCTGCCATTCCCAGGCTTCTTCAGCTTTGGAGAGTCCTGGTTAGTCAACAGCCAATCAGAAAGATTCATCTCATCTTGATCAAGAAGCTCTGGATCTTCAACCTTTTCAGTATCAATGGAGCATGAGCTGGTGGTAGAACAGCTGTTACCCTTTTCGTAACATGGTTTTTCAGGAACTTCTTGTTGGCTCTTGTGGAGCCAGTTTTCCAAGCCCTTTAGGTTGTCCCAGACATTACTAAAGAGACTGCAGGTTCTGGAGGAAGTCTAAGCAGAAAGTACACAATATTAGTTCAGCAGAACAGTATGAGTGCTTTGGGGTTCAATGGTAACAGTTCCATTTGCCTATTTACTGCATTGCCTAGTGTTTCTAAATTTAAGTATACATAGAAAAGGGATTTCTCTGTTGCAATAATAAAATATTTGAGTACATACAAATATTTTCTGCAATTTAAAAAACTGAAAAATATTAAAGGCAAACTAAGAGAAAGCATTTGTAGCATAAATAGAAAAGAGAAATTAGTTCTCCATAACATGCCTTTATGAATAAAGACAAAAGTGAGCAAAAGATATATTTATGCAAATTATAGAAAGAGGCTAATAAACAGGAAAATACTCAATTTCCTTAAACAAAACAAATTTGTTATTTTGTGTCAAATTCACAAAAACACTTATAAGTAACTACTCTTAGAGAATTTTCAGGGAAGCAAATACAATCAATACTCTATTGGGGGGAATATCAATTTCCTAGAAAACCAAGTTGATAATATGTATCTAAAACTGTAATCTAAGAATGCCATTTCTAGGAATTTTCTTCTAAGGAACTAACAAAGAATTAGCTCCTGAATGTTTAGAGAAACTTTGTTTATATTCCCCCCCTAAAGAAAACCTGTAGATTAAATTATAGCCAATCAATGAAACATTATAGTCTGTTAAGGATTTTATGGGAGAAATTAAGTGACAGAGAAATATATTCATGCTCTACCGTGTTTCCCCGAAAATAAGACATCCTCCGAAAATAAGACCTAGCACATGGAAAGAGAAGACATCCCCTGAAAATAAGACCTAGCACAACTTTGGGCGAAAAAATTAATATAAGACACTGTTATTTTCAGGGAAACAGGGTATTAGTGAGGGAAAAAAAATCTAATAGCCAAAACAGGACTTATAGGATAGTTTTTTTAAATATATGTGTTTCAGGTTTTGGTTAATCCTCTCTAATAAAAAAGAAACATGCAAATTGTCCAACCTTCACTATAGCCACAAACTGCGCCCTCCAGCCAATCAGGGAGAGTATGCAAATTAACCCAACCAAGATGGCTGTTGATTTGCATATTTAGGCCAGACTGAAGACAGCATAGAAAGAAGCCAAGCACTGTATAAGGGAGTGAAGCTGTAGAGAAGCAAGCGGAGAAGGCAGGGAAGCAGGCAGGGCAGGGTGAAGGGAGAGAAGTCGGCAGGGTGGCAGAGAAGGGAGGGAAGCAGGCAGGGCAGCTGAGACCACAGCAGGAAGCCCTATTGCAGCAATCTTCCTGCAAGGGGCATCTAGTCTATATATAAAAGCCTAAGCAACCAGGCAACTGAAGGACTTAACAACTGGTCACTATGATGCACACTGACCACCAGGGGCAGCTCCTGCATTGAGCATCTGCCCCCTGGTGGTCAGTGCGTTCCCACAGTGGGAGCTCTGCTCAGTTGACAAATGAGTACCAGATGCCAGGCTCATGGCTGCAGGCTGCAGCAGCACCAGCCTCTCCCACCTCTATGCGCAGCAGGGCTGGGATGAGCGGGGTGGCCTTCCCCGGGCTCGGGCATCTCCCTGGCCACCTGCTGCTTTGCGCACTACTACAGCCTTCAGGGGATGTCACACTGCCGGTTTTGGCCCTGCTGCAGAGACTGGGCTGAAACCAGCAGTCCAACATACCCCAGGGGTCCCATATTGCAAAAAGACGCAGGCCAGGGTGAGAGATCCCACCTGTGCACGAATCCATGCATCAGGCCTCTAGTGAAGAATATAAATAAAAATGTTACAGTGGCCGTCTCTGCATGTTGAGATTATTTGTATTTCTTTATATAATTATTTGTTTACTAACTTTCTATGGAGTAGAGATGTCACTATTGTAATTAGAAGTTATTAAAAATACATGTTTCTGGACTAGAACTAAAAACTAAACAAAAACATACTAACCCCATCTACTACTATATCTCCCTGAGAAACAATAAAGCAGCAACACACCTGATTGTTCTCAGAGATCTGCTTTTGGGTGAGCCAGTCCTGGAGATTGGTGCTGGGTGTGTAAGGAGCTGGATGACCATTCGCCGGTTTGCTTCCAAGGAGCCATTCACTGAGAGGGACAGCTGTGGTACTGGATGCTGACTTCTGCTAATCACATAGACAATAAATGTCAACTGCAGTAGAAAGTTCAGGAAAGCAGCAGACCTAAACTCTCTAATCGGCTTGCCACTAACTCTTCACAAATTACATGACTTCCCTAAGCCTCCATATTCACAATTATAAATGAAATAGTATGGCTGAGTTCCAGGGTTCTTCTCAACTCACAATGTCTAGAAATTTATATCTGAATTGCCTTTAGAAGTAAATCAAATCTATGAATTATTTTAAAAAAAAAAAAAGGATACCCAAGCAGAGAGCTAATGACACTTTTGTTTGTTTGTTAATCCTTACCCGAGGATATTTTGCCATTGATTTTGAAAGTGAAAGGAAGGGGGATAAGCAGAAACATCCTGCATGCACCCCAATCAAGACTGGAGATATGAAGCCTGCAACTGAGGTCCATGCCCGGGACTAGAATCGAACCCTGGACCCCTCACTACACATGCCAATGTTCTATCAGTGACCTAAACTGGCTAGGACTGATGATAATCTCTTATGAACTAACTAGAAGCCGATGCACGAAGATCCGTGCTAGAATGGGCCTTCCTTTCCTGGCTCCTGGCTGCCAGCACCACCTTTCCACTCTAGCCTTGCCTTCCCACACTGCCCAGAGGCCTTGAGAGACCGGGGGTGGAGCACCTGTGTATGCAAATTAACCATAATCTGTTGTGTTAATTTGCATACTCGCTCTTGATTGGCTGGTGGGCATAGTGGAGTTATGATCAATTTACATGTTTGTCTATTATTAGGTAATATTGATAACAATAACTTTCTATTTATCCAACACCTATTAAACATCTAAATTTCTACTTGACATTCAGTCTCAAAGGAAGAATTTAATTGCATAAACTAATCCAGCAAAAACAATAAATGATTTACTTAAACCCAAAAAGAAATATTAATCAAGTAATAACTCAGTTATCAGAAACAAAATTACATTTTACCTGCTCAAGCAATGGAATATATCCTCTTTTCTCCATAAAGGGCCCAATATTAGATGAGCTAGCATGAGTCATCAACTGCTCAGGAATTTGCTATAAAATAAAAGCAAAATAATCATGTTTATTAATGTTAATTTTCATACCAAAAAGTGAAATTGTAATTCCTAAATTTCAAAAGTATTAAGCAAAGCATTACCATTTCTATAGAATAGTCTTTACATTAGATTCAATGATCTACAAAGTAGTTATCAAACCTGAGAAATCTCTATTTACTACATAACATCATACAAGAAATTTCACAATTGGTAATATTACTACTTTTAACAAGACCCAAATGAGACCATGTTTGCTTCTTTATATGAAACACCATTCAAGCCAAAAATTTTATAAGAAATATGTCGAAGGTATGTCAAAGGTTTTAATACCAGATGAATTCTTGAGATTATCCATGAATTTTTTTTTTTTTAAATATATTTTATTGATTTTTTTTTACAGAGAGGAAGGGAGAGAGATAGAGAGCTAGAAACGTCGATGAAAGAGTAACATCGGCCAGCTGCCTCCTGCACACCCCCTACCGGGGATGTGCCCACAACCAAGGTACATGCCCTTAACCGGAATTGAACCCGGGACCTTTCAGTCTGTAGACCGACACTCTACCACTGAGCCAAATCAGTTTCGGCTATCCATGAATTAATATTGCACCCAAGAACTACCAGACTAATGCCCTGTCATCTTAATCAAAATGTGAAATTTCCGAAGTTCACCAAATTCTATAGAAAGCCAGTATCTAAATAAAAATGTGATATTTTTAGTACCATGTGTGAGACCACAGACCTGAGCAGCACACTATGAACCATTTGAGATCAGTATTACTCACAATGGTCTTGAGGGACCCAAACGTGGTGATGGCCTGGCGCAGAGCAGTTGTGTCTGCTTCAAAGAATAGGACAGTCGAATCTTCAGGTTTGAGGGTCAAATTGCCCAATCTGGAGAAAAAAATAAATAAAATCTGGCTATTTTTAAGAAATATCTATTTCAACTTCATCTTAAACAAAAGCCAAATTGTGAATTATCTGAAATGATTGTACTTTTCTAAGACTCTCAACCAAAGATAGATCACTTAACAATGCACCAAGTATAATATTAAATATATAAAGCAAGATGATCTTATCACAGGAACAGAGAAGTCAAGTTAAATCCAACAGGTGCAATGAGTTACTAAGGTGACTCTTTTAATACACCAAAGTCAAAGTGCCAAAAATCAAAACAAGCAAAGATAGTCTTTACCTTTCCAGGCACACGGACACTTGATTGGCTAGATCTTTGTTTTGGGTGCACTCCAGTTGATGAATAAGACAATTGAACTGGCCCAGTAACTGTAAGAAAAATGAAACCACCTTGCCACAATGATACAAAAAGCACCAATGTATCCAAGTTAACAAATAGCACTGAGATTAAACTTTTATCTGATTCCACAATACAGGAAAGACTCTCCAAAAACCAGCCACTTACCCAGTAGAGCTGTTGGGTCTGCTGCTGAAGTGTCTCCTCTTTAAGCTGATAGATGAGATCTACCTGTTCATACAACCACACCTCCCGGCTTCGAAGGCATTCCAAGTGACGGCTTATGCAGCTGTGAATCTGGGCTTTGATCTAAGAAATACATACATATTACTATTGGCTTCACAAATGTTATAAAGCCCAAAGAATTATTTCCCACTGAACAGTGAGGTTCTTAAACTTTTGGGAGTCACCAATCCTTTTGGCTATCCAATGATACCTCCCCAGAAAAATGCAGACTAAAATGTGTACCTATAATTTCTGGCTTAGTGTCCCCAAAGCCGCAATGACCCATTTTAAGAATTCCAGCCAAAAAAATGTACCTAAGCTCTGAGATCCTCCCACTACTAGGAGGCCAGGCTAATTTTGGGTGTCCTAAAATAACCAAGAGAAAATATAAGGATATGTCAAGTAATAGTGATCCCCCCCGCCCCGCTCAGTTTTTCATATGATTTGAAAACCTATAGTTTTATAAATTTACAAGTGTAATAGGACTCTTGACTTAATAGCTAGCCTTTATCTCTTTTCTCACCTTACAAATGAACAACCCACTGACGACAGTAGACCAATTTGATAAAGAGAAGTGCCACTGTATGTCAATAACCAGAGACCTCTAGGATAGACAGTTTAAATACAATTGTAAAGTAAATGTTTCTAGAAGCATAAACAGTGATTCAAAGAAGGGTAAATATAAATCCTAAGGAAAAACATCAAAACAGTTATAAATTATCAATGAGAACACACATTAAAAAAAACAAAAACAAAAAACCTATTTTAACCCTAACCAGTTTGGCTGAGTGGATAGAGTGCCAGCCTGCAAACTGAAGGGGCCCAGGTTTGATTCCAGGCACATGCCCGGGTTGTGGGCTCCATCCCCAGTAGGGGGCGTGCAAGTGGCAGCCAATCAATGATTCTCTCACCATTGATGATTCTCTCTTTTCTCTCTCTCTTCCTTCCTCTCTGAAATCAATAAATATCTATATTTTAAAAACTATTTTAAAACTTTTTTCTGTATAATAAAGTATTTCAAAGTCATGTAATTCTACTTGGTCTACCCATTCACCAAAAAAATACTATTAAGCCAATGAAACAAACATATTTCATTCTGTCTTACTCTGACAGTCATTTACAGAACCATGCCACCTCCAAAACCATGCAATCAACAAGTTAAAAAGTGGTAGGGGACAGGATCTTGTGCCATCCTTCATGCATCCAGAATACAGATGAACAACATACTGCTCATTCGTTTTCTGGGTTTGTTTGTTTGTTTGTTTGTTTGTTTATGGCAGTGCTTGGCACAGAGACCACAAAGAAGAGCAATCAAAAATGCATGCTAAATTCTCTTAGTACAAAATTCTCCCAGCCCTTCTAACATCTGTTTTATTTCCCTTTGGAAATAAAATTCTCTTGGTACAAAATTTTTTGTACCAAGAATTAAATTAAATTTAATTCTCTTGGTACAAAATTTTCCCAGCCCTTTAAATTCTCTTGGTACAAAATTTTCCCAGCCCTTCTAACATCTGTTTTATTTCCCTTTGGAATTAAAGACATCAACATTGCAGACCATGGAAAGCATAGGGTGAAACTTCTTGGTTGGCACTGAGAAGCCAACCTTTGTCCACGCTCTAACCACGCCTGTGCTAAGAGTCCAGACCCAGCAAGAGAAAAGCACACATCATACCTCTCGCAAGTTATCTTTAATTTGCTGTTCAGCCCGGAGAACTCCACCAATAGCAAGCTCCAAGTCCCTCTGTGCATCATGACACCTCAAAAGGGGTTCTCTCTTACTGAAGCCATTCTGGTCCTGTGAAGTACTCATTCTGCTCACTGTTCCTTCAAAGAAAAACAGAACAATGCAAATTGCACCATCATTACAATCAGAAACCACCTTTCAATCTTCCCCGAAATGATCATTCCAACCAGCTCCCAGTTACTACTAACTTCTTAGATTACTTCCAACACAGGACCTGGCACATAGCAAACTCTTAATAAATACTCCCTCCTCTTCATGTCCACCAGTATTGTGTTTCTGTCACAAAATTCCATGCATCTACTTTAGTGACACTTTACAGGTATTTCTGAAAAAAACAATTTTTCTGAATCAATAAGGCATACAGCCTCCAAAAAGTTCAAAGAATTTTAGAGTGTAGATTTCTATTTATAACATAGATGAAATCAGATAGTTTAAGTCATGTGTTGTTTTGCAGATTTAGATATGAAGAATAAAAGGTCTACAAGGATCCATAATTACAGTACTTTGGAAAAAATGCTGCAAATAAAAAAAGCTTAAACAGTTTAGAACATTGTATAGATCTGGCAAGTACCTAAATTTTTTGAGGACAGAATTTTAATTTATTCTGTTTTTTATATATATTTTAAAAAAAAATTTTTTTAGCCGAAACCAGTTTGGCTCAGCAGTGGAGCGTCGGTCTGTGGACTGAGGGGTCCCAGGTTCGATTCTGGTCAGGGGCGTGTGCATTGGTTGAAGGCACATCCCCGGTGGGGGGTGTGCAGGAGGCAGCTGGTCAGTGTTTCTCTCATCGATGTTTCTGGCTCTCTGTCTCTCTCCCTTCCTCTCTGTAAAACATCAATAAAATATATTTTTTAAAAAAAAATTTTAGGGACAACTTAGAAATGGCTTCATAGCTAGGAAGCTCTCAAGAATGTAAATCTTAAAAAAAAAATAATTTCATAGGAGATGTAAAGGAGGTTCTTACATCAGAAATTAGTGTAGCAAACTACAGAGAATTCTCTAATAAGCTTAGGTTTACAAGAGATAAAAAATAGAAGTGGAAAGAACAGCACATAACCAATGATATATCAAACTGGGAGAGAAGAGAGTGCGAAATGCATTGAGGCAGAGCTGACGGAGCCACGGGTTTCTATCCTAGATAGAAATAGAATCACGGGTGTGTTTTTGTTTGTTTTATTTTTAATCCTTACCTGTGGCTATTTTTCCATTGATTATTAGGCAGAGTGAAGAGAGGGAAAGACAGAGAAATACTGACTGGTTGCCTCCTGCAGGAGCCCTGACCAGGGGCTAGGCCAGGGAGGAACCTGCGACCGAGGTGCATGCATGCCCTTCACCAGAATTGAACCAGGGACCCTTCTGTCCACAGAACAACACTATCCACTGAGCCAAAGTGGCTAGGGCCACAGATAGTTTTAAACACTTAGAAAAGAAAGCAGTGATCACTGTAGCCCAGCATGAATCACTAATCCCTAAGTTACTTCCTTCTTGGATAGTTTTACTAAACTGTCCAATGTAATGTGTAGACCAAGCATGTCAAACTCTCGGAATGTAAGAAACGTTTTAATAAAAAAATTTCCTAACTTAATTTTTACAGTATCCTGCCATATATAATCATTTTTAATATAGCTTATTGATTTTTTATAGAGAGGGATAGGGAATTAGAAACATTGATGAGATAGAAACATCAATCAGCTGCCTCCTGCACACCCTCTATAGGGGATGTGCCCACAACCAAGATACATGCCCTTGACAGGAATCGAACCTGGGATCCTTGAGTCCGCAGGCCAAACCAGTTATGGAATACATAATTATTAATAACGAACTTCAACATGCACTAATGACTGATTACTATAATCGTGTTGCATTCATTTCCCTTACATGCCTTATGCACAGGCACACCATTTCTCACAACTAATGCTAGCAGTGAATACTTTAGCAGCCTACTGCCATGTCATTAGTCTTGGACTCACTTGCTTGGTGTGTGCAACAGGAAATATTTTGCTTTCGGAGAACAAGAAAAATAGGTTTATTTGCACTACACTTACTTATTTGTGCAGTTCAGTGTCTGGTAACTTAATGTTCAAGAAGAAAATATTAATTTTTATTAAAATGTTCTATTATGTTAATGATTACTCATTTATTTTAAGCCCTTTGTATTCAGCATGTCTCTTATCAAAATAAACCTACATTTCTATGAAAATAGAAGCTTTTGTGTGGTTTTTTTTTTGCAGTCCTCATAAACTTATACCTTGTTTATTTGGCCCATGTTAGCCTTTGAGTTTGACATGCTTGTTGTAGACACAACATAACTGGACAATAGTAAGACCTGTGGCAAGGTTGTATGCTATCTTTGTGGACAAAGCGGATATGGGCTAAATAGAAACACAATTAAATTAAATCATAATTATTTTACGCAGTACTCAAAGGATAATGGACTAAAACCAGTCTGTAAAGTTTTTAGAGGTATGTACCTATTTTCCTCAATTGAACTTGAATGGGGAAGAGTACAATTTTTAGGGCGGGTGGGGAGGAATACAAATTTTTAAAAGAATGAAGATTTTTAACTGAAAGTGAACCCTACATGAGATTGCAGTGTGCTGGGTCTGAGGGGGAAATAATCTACATACCATTTGACTGATTTCATCGAAAGTAGAGTTTTGTCACAGGAATATTTGTTCCATGTTTACTAGACTATATTTGAAACTTTTCAGAATAAAACACTTTAGAAAGAAGCATTTAGAAAAGGGAAAGAGACCTCAAAACCATGAAAAATTTCTCCGGAAGGGAAGCTGTTTAACCTTGATAAGAGAAGTCTCTACTCAAATATTTGGAAACATGTCAAAGAGAAGAATTACACTTACTCAAAATAACCCAAAGTGGGGGGTGGAGTATTAATAGGAGACATTGGAGGCAATATATGAAAGAACTTCCCAACAGTCCTGAAGGCAATGGCCTTTGAAAAGCCAGCTTCCAACAGAACAGCAGCCTACTCAATGCAGTCCCTGACATGGCTGACTGCTCCCCTGAAACAAAGGGAACTCTTCAGGCCTAGCTTTAGGGCCAAGTGGCTAGAGGAAAGGGACAAAGTAGTGTGATATAATACTCTGAAATAAAACAGTGAGAGGAAGAAGCCCAACAGGCTTCTTTTTGCCCACTCAGCAAAAGATTCACATTCAGGAACTACAGCCTTCCTATAAGAAACTGAAAGGGACAGGAAACTTTCCAGCCTGTGGCCTCAATCTGTTTCCCCAGGATTTGACAGGAATCCTTGACATTTTTTCCAACCCTTGAAACATCAACTGTACCTACTTTGCCGCCTTCTTTATTCATAGTGTAAGCTGCCCTGTTTTAAGTGTAGATATAGGTGTGCACTTGGCACATATTGTAGGACTTTGAAAAACCTGCCTTAAACCCAGTGACAGAATGTATTACATGATCTCACTCTTATGTGCAATCTAAAGAAAATAAACTGGTAAACAAAACAGATCCAGAAATATAGAAATATGCAACAGATGACTATCAGAGGGAAGGTGGGTGTGGGTGGATGAGTGGGAAGCAATTAACCGAAGAACCTATATGCATAACCAACCCATGACACAGACAACAGGGTGGTGAAGGCTTGGAGTGGGGGCAGCCTAAAAGGGGTGAGTGGGTGGGAAAAGAGTACAATTATATTACTTTCAACAATAAAAGTAAATAAAATTAAAAGAAAAGAAGCCTGCATAACACAAGTGAAATGTTGCCTCAGATCTGCATCACCACAATTGCTTCACTTTGCACTTAGGTTATATGCAAGGCATGTTTAGCCACCTTTCAAATGGATTAACCAAATTTCCCACTCTTAGGTCCTCAACATTTATGTGAAATGCCACAATGCCTGGCACAGTGTAAAGTTTAATCAATAAAATTAAATTAAATTATTGTTTCATGACGTCAAAAACCCCGAAGTTCTAGATCATATGGGAGACCAATTCAAATGCATACAGTGCTGACTGTATGTATTACTAGATCCCTAAAGTCTTCTCACTGAATCACAAACACTATACAACTGCCTTCTAAGAGTAGAATATGGCAAAAGTACACGTTGGATTTTTCTTTTTATCACTTATGAACAGAAGGTAGGATGAGATTTAAGTTATAAAACTGATTTTTTCCCCACAGACTTATCAAGTTTTCAAATTAAAATGAGTGCTGTTCTTTAAAACAGCCATTTTCTTAGGCCTGGCCGGGTGGCTCAATGGTTGAGGGTCGACCCATGAGCGAGGAGGTCATGGTTCAGATCCTGGTTGGGCCACAGGCCGGGATTTCAGGCTTGATCCCCGTGAGGGACTTGCAGGGTGGGACAATCAACGATTCTCTATCATCATTGATGTTTCTCTCTCTCCCTCTTCCTTCCTCTCTAAAATCAAGAAAAACAAATTTTTTTTTTAAACAGTCATCTTGTTAGAACAAGGTCTTTGGAGCCTATTTGTCAGCTAAAAAAAAAACAAAAAAAAACAAAAACTTTTTTTTAATATGCTTTTATTGATTTTAGAGAAGGAAAACATCAATCATCTGCCTCCTGCACTCCCTCCTCCCCTACACACACACACACACACACACACACACACACACACACACACACGCACTGAGGATGAGCCTACAACCCAGACATGTGCTCTGACTGGGAATCAAACCAACTTTTTGGTGCATGGGAGGATGCTCATCCTACTGAGCCACACTGGCCAGGGCACCTGTTTCATTTCTTTATGGCCGTCCCAGGGTGCTGTCCCTGGGCTGCCCTTAGCCCTGCCACTCCTCCCTATAGGCAGTAGCGTCCACAGCCCAGATCACAAGATGGGAGCTGTGTAACGCTTGCCCTCTTGCACTGCAGAGAGGAAGCAGCCCTCTACACAGATGAACTCAAATCACAATGAGGTGAAGCCTCATTTAGTTTTATGAAATGCCACATCAAAGAGCCTTGTTCGAGGTAACTAGTTCTTACAACAATTTTCAACAATTCACCATTTGCAGTGCCAGTGAAGCAAGGGTAAAGGTTAATAGATTACTCTGGGGTCGGACAAATC